GTTGGTTTAGGTCTATAAATGCGTCATGAACTGATGTTTTGTTTTGACAATTTTGAACTTGTCTGCTTACAGTTAACAGTTGCGTCTAACAGCACTCTGATCAGCACAACTGGAAACAGCTGTTTGCGTAAAGTGTAAATTGTTTTTGCGATTTTATAATTTGCTTACAAAATTATTGTTTCATTTAGCTTTAACTGAGGCGTTATCGCCACAACAATTTATTAACTGAAGAAACCGTTAAATGTTGCGACGCACCATGGCGGAGTTTGACATAAAAGCCGGTCTGCTGCACGTGTTGCAGCGCATCGATGAAGTTATCTTGCTGCGATCGAAAGTGAGACCAGTAGGATGAAACGAATGGCATAATATACAAATTTCAATAATTTATTGAAGGAAATCCAGGCTGCAAGGCCTCTTTTGGTGGCTGTAAGCAAGACAAAGCCAGCCGAAGCCATTATAGAGGCGTACAAGGCCGGACAGCGAGATTTTGGGGAGAACTACGTGCAGGAGCTCGTGGAGAAGAGCCAGCACCCGGACATAGTAGCCCAGTGCCCCGGAATCAAGTGGCACTTCATCGGCCACTTGCAGAACAACAAAATCAACAAGGTACGACGGTTTATACTGCACTGGATTCTCTAAAGCGTTTATTTATTGTAGATACTCTCTCTGAACAAACTGCACATGATCCAAACCGTAGACAGCGAGAAGCTGGCCACCAAGCTGGATGCCGCCTGGTCAAAGTTGAAACCAGCCTCAGAGCCACCGCTCCGGGTTCTGGTTCAAATTAACACCAGCGGCGAAGAGGGTACATAGATGCAGCCAGTCGACGAGCAACTCTCAGTTACTACAATACTTACATTACAGCCAAGAGCGGCATCGGGACGAAGGAAGCGCCACAGCTTTACCAGTTCATCACCAACAACCTGAAGCATCTGCAACTGATGGGCATTATGACCATTGGAGCCTATGGCTTCGACTACAGCATAGGGCCAAATCCAGATTTTGTTTCGCTCATGCAAGTGCATCGCTCTATCTGCGAGGCCAACTCCCTGTCCCCCGAATCCGTGCTCGTCTCCATGGGTATGTCGAACGACTACGATCGAGCGGTATGTTAAACGTTTCACTACCTACGAACCTCCTGTTCATAATGCTCTGCCCGCAGATTGAAATGGGCAGCAACGTGGTGCGTGTCGGCTCATCTATTTTTGGATATCGCGCTGTCAAGGCATAAGGCGATCGTTGGCGAGGAAGGAATGCGCTTTCGGGTGTATGGCCGAATACAGTTGTTTCCCAATGACGTGCAAAAACCCAAATAAAAAACATTCAAGCGATGCGTAACCTCCATGTGTCGCACATGTACATATGTATGTATCAGATGGAGATAGTGCACACAGATATGTACATGTGTATGTACATAAGTATGAAACGTTTAAATGGTATCATAGGTTGAAACTGATTTGGATTTAAAATTAGAAAAAATGAAGATAAACAAATATTATGTTCATAAGTATGTAAGCACATACATACATATATGATGTGTTATTCGTTCCTCTCCAGCGTTTGTTGATTAGCTACATATGAATGTATGTATAATATTTTCTAATTTAACATAAAGTTGTATAACAAGAATTCGAAATACTAAATCAATTAATCTTTTCAAGTACAAGTATTTAGATTTGGTCCACCTTGCAAAAGTGAATAGATATGCTGCAGCTTTCATTAATTTAAAAATTTCCTTCAATATTTATTGCTTTATTTTGCATTTAGCTCTATTTTAAGTTTTGCAAACAATCAATGCCACGTCGGGTATAGAATTGTTTGTAGTTTTTATACACTTTCTTGTGTTCCCTGGCCCAATGCCAAATTGTCATCTAGTTATTTGCGAGCATTGAAAATGCTCCGACAGTTTTTGATGAAAATACCTTTCAATAAAGCAAGAATGAGGATGCATTCAAATTGATTTCTATATGTCTCATCGATGCATTGTATATTCGTTTTTTTCGTTATCCCATCATTAATTAAACATTTGCCATTAAGTATCCATCCTGATATCTTAATTGACACACATTTTAGTTGCAAAGCACAAACAAAATGAATAGACGTGCGTAGGATCGTCAGATCCTTCAGTAAGGTAAATTAATCCTTCCATTAAATTGTAAAAGATTTGTTTTCAATACAATTTTGTATCTAACTACCAATTATGATTCAGATCCCAAACAAATTCCGTTTGAAAAACTTAACATCAAAATGTAATTTTTTTACAATATAATTTATAATATATAAAATATACCGACTAGGTCTCTTTCCATTTCATTGTAAAGTACAGCTGACTGACAGAACATGGAAAAATTGTTAATTATTTTTCGAATATTATGCAATAGTCATAGATGACTCGGATATATATAAGTTCAGATGTTTTTGTTGCCGAAATAACTCTCGACATATATCGGGTTCGTTGGTTTATGCGAGACGAATCCGTACGATCTGTGTACATACAGAAAGATTTGGAATTCTCTCAGCTCTTCATATTGCACAATGTTCGGGGCATTTCAGAAACCGAAAAAGAAACGGAAAAATGCCGAGCGTAGAAATAGGTAAGGCAAAACATCGAATCGAGTATATACACATCGAATTTATGCATATGTATAGTTTCTATAAATTGTTGATTCTCGTGTATTTTTGCTTGGTTGTATGGCATGGTAGCCATGGCAAATGTAGGGGGTTTCAGCGCAAGAGGATACCTTCGGAGGTGGCCTCAAGAGAAAAAACGAGTAAAACCAAACAAGAAGAAACAAAACAAAATGTGAACATCGGGGGAATGTGTCTGCAACGAAGTGTAGGCAAAGGCAGAAACTGAACCACGAAGGCACGAAAATCATTTCAAACCGCACCGAAATAAATTCTGAGCATATGAACACATAAGCAAAAGCCTAGAGAAAAGTATTCTCTCTGTCGTTAAAATTAGATTTTTGATTAGAGCATCGCCCGATGAGTAAACAACTCGGATACAGCTATAGCTCTTTGGCTCTATACCTATAGATATAGCCCCAGACACCCCGCTATTCGTCTGGACAGACCACGTCTTGTAGATACTAAAAAAGGCAGCACGAATATTGCATTTACGTGTGTGTGGGTCCCTGGTGGGTAGAAGAAGCACGCCAAAAAGAACTTAAAACATCATTGTCTTTGCGATAAAATCAGCCAGAGATTCAGTGTGCTCTGACCGCTCAACTCGTTTAGACAGCCACATCAAAGTTCAGCAACATGGTAAGGATCGGGATATACTCCAACTGAACTGAACTGGACTTATCTGAGCAGAACGCAGCTGAACCCAAGAACTCAAGTGGATAAAAACAGCAAGGACTTGTGCAGTGATTTAGTTTCATCCGAACGAGGATATATCATATATATATCACAATATGAAGTGATCCTTAACGTAATTCCGAACGGTTACCATCTCGATGAACCGAAATGTCTTAACTGTAATGTGTGGATTGAATCGATGAGCCCGAGCAAAAGTGTGAAAATATCCTTGACTCCAGGGTGTGCCTTTCCTACGCATTCGAAAGCGATCGCGAGCAGTTCTAAAATTGGATGCAAGTTCTATGCGTCAGTAATGTAATTTGATATACGTGTCGGCGAGCGAGCGAGATGGCAAGCACGGCAGCGCTTATGTAACAATGGCCCGGATATTTTTAGTTGGGTGGCCATACAGTGGAACATTTTTTCCCAAGAATATTTTCAAAACGAAACAAATGGGTGGAAACTTCCTGCCTGAGACTTTTGACTATTGATCCTTGACTCCTAACTCCTGACATTCAGGTTTTATTTCAAGACTGATACTGTTTTCTCTTTATGTAGGCCGATGAGAAGAAGAAGGTTAAGAAGAAGAAGACCAAGGAAGAGGGAGGCACTTCTGAAACCGCTTCTGAAGCCGCATCTGAGGCAGCAACCCCCGCACCTGTTGCAACTCCTGCCCCGGCTGCTTCTGCCACTGGATCGAAGAGAGCGTCAGGCGGCTCTCGTGGCTCCAGGAAGTCGAAGCGCGCCGGCTCCTCGGTCTTCTCTGTTTTCTCCCAGAAGCAGATTGCCGAGTTCAAGGAGGTGAGTTGGCCAAGGCCGAACTATTCCTATATCTACACCTAAATCCTCCATCCACCAATCCCAACCCCATTCCCATCCTTATTTGAAATGCATACATATCTATCGCACAAGTCAATGACCAAATCACCAACCCACTCTCTCTCTCTCTCTCTCTCTGTCTCTTTCTCGCTCTCTTTCTTTCCGAATCCGTGCGTGTTGCACTGAGTAGGCCTTCCAACTAATGGATGCCGACAAGGACGGTATTATTGGCAAGAACGATCTGCGCGCTGCCTTCGACTCCGTCGGTAAAATCGCCAACGACAAGGAGTTGGACGCCATGCTGAGCGAAGCCTCGGGTCCGATTAACTTCACCCAATTGCTGACCCTGTTCGCCAACCGTATGGCTTCCGCCGGTGCCAACGATGAAGACGATGTTGTTATTGCTGCCTTCAAAACATTCGATAACGATGGTCTCATCGACGGTGATAAATTCCGCGAAATGCTCATGAACTTCGGTGACAAGTTCACCATGAAGGAAGTTGATGATGCCTACGATCAGATGGTCATTGATGACAAGAACCAGATCGATACCGGCGCCCTGATCGAAATGCTCACCGGCAAGGGTGAAGAAGAGGAAGAGGAGGCCGCCTAAGCAGTAGCTGAAGCACCTGGCATCCCCGCACATATCCTAACTTCTAACTCAGCATCCATATTACAGCCAACACAACTTTTAAATCAATCAGTAAAAAATAATAAACGTAATTAAATGAAATGCTCGTTTTACATATGTATGTAAATTCTCAACATCTATATAATCTCTTTGTGTTAACACTGAACAACACTTAAAACTTCTTTAACAAGACCTTGGTAGCGATCAAAAATAGGAACAGAACAACTCGTAGTCATTTACCATGTATCTATCATTATTTAGGGATACTCTCATACAATCAACGTCAAAACACCAACTTGACGTCTAGTTTTCTAGTTGATTTACTGTTAAATTTTACACGTAAAATTTATAAAACAAAAGCAATATATTTTATTTAAAATACGTATAAAATCAACAAAAAAAACTTTAAAACAACAAAACCAAGCAATGTTTATTTTAATCGCTGTTCGTTAAAGAGCCAACCACAAAAAGATGAAAGTGAGGATGAAGCTAAAGATTAATACGAAAGGATGATGGTCAGTGGGTAGCTAGATTGGCTTTGTACGGCGTAAAAGACCCACAGAGATTTTTGTTCGAATTTTTTTGTTTATCGTTATTAATTCTAGCAGGACAAGGAGAGAGAGAGGCAAAGAAACTATTTTTAGGAACACTTATCTGAGAGCCCTTTATTTATCTTTTATAAATAAAATATTTTGTTATAAATATTTACCTAACGTTCGTTACTCAGTTTCATATTTCAATATCAATTATTTTGAGTTACGAATTATGAATACATATTAAATTTACCAATATTGCAAGTTTTCGAGAGTTAGGCTTAATAGCAGATAAAACATAAAATTCATTCACTCTAATTGCTTTATGGGAATTTTCATAACTTAACCAACCACAACTTCCTGCTTATGAACTATCAGCGTTATAACCAAAAAAAAAACCAAATATGATAAACAAATTTTGAAATATGAAGAAAACAATTAAACCAAAATGCGTTTCAAAAGTACGAGTGGCTGGCTAGAATCCAGATCTTTTTCTGTGAAGAATCTTTGAAGCGGAAGCTTCACTTTTCGGTCATTCGCTACCTGGTGGTATTGGTGGTGTACAGCTACAATGGGGTAAGCAAGCCGCAGATCTGCTAGTTTGTCATATTCAATCACAGTACATACAACCATTAGTACCTGGGCGGATCGAAGATAGAGGAGAAGCATCACTTTATACTATGTACTAAATACACAAAACATACACGAAACCAATTCAATATGGAACAAGTTGTTAAATGCGAATGCGAATGCGAATATAATCTTTACTTCAGTATAAATTAAGTTATATTGCAAGAAAAAATTCTGAAAACTTTTTTAACCCAGTCAGAAATATTAACAAACAAAAAAACTGTTTTATACAACATATCGATGATGATGATACTGATGACAAAATCTTGGAATAAAGGAAAGGCGAGTCGTCTTGTCTTGGAAAAGAAACCCACTTTTGAATCTGAGTATTACTTAGGGGAACGCAACGGAAGGGAACTGAGGGGAATGAATGGTTACCTCTTCGAGACGTGAGTCAGCTGTGACAGCGACCAAAGCGAGTGAACAAACAAAGCCAAGCGAGAAACTCACCTCACTTCTCCACTTGGATTTTGATGGCTGTGGATTTCGACTTTGCTCGACCAGTTTTTAGCTGAGTTTCAACGTGGGCAGTTTTCTCCAAAACGCACGCACGCGCAATACAATGTGATAGTCTGCAACGACTGAAAATATACCCACATAATAATAAACTTTTGAGGCCCTGGAAGGACAAATGGCTCATACCATTGGCCCACAATTGGGAGCGGTAAGAGCATTGCTATTCGCCATCACACTTTTCTGGATTGCATCACCCAGAGGCGGTAAGTACTGCAGTTTCAAACTTCGTTTGTCGAATGCCTAATCAGTCCCGCTTCCATTGTATACACATATCGCAATTGAGAAAAAATAGAAAGTGATCCACGCTCACGTCTTTTCACTCCAATTTGCTTGGTAAACAGCCGATGCCCAGCATCTGGTTGCGTACATATCGCAGCGTGGTCTTCATGGGGAGATTACGTTTCGGCAGATGAACGCCACGATGGTGGAGATTAAGGCCAGTCTTGAGGCCACTCTTCAGTACCCGGTTCAGGTTTGGAGCTGGGCAGTAAGGCGCTTTGCGGTGGACTACTCGATCATTGATCCTGAGGAGCGCTGCAAACTCGATCGCTTGGGAGCGCAGGTGATGAGCTTCGACGAGGATCTGGAGTACCTGGTGCTGCCCGGGAACGAAACTTCTACATGGAAACGAAATATGCGGCTAATCGGTGACTTGGGAATCTGGGGTAAGTCTCTGGTACTCACGGAGGTGGATAAGGATGTACGTGTCTGTGCCACGATCACCACAATCCAGAACTCCGTGGAGCACATGGCCGAGGCACGATTTAATACGCCTGTGGCCGGATCTGTTCACTTCCGCTGGTTGGCCCCGGCTGAGGGCGCTAACGGTGACACACTGATATATTCCGACTTGTACCACATCAAAGAGCAGCCAGTGGATCTGGAGGGAAGCGATAAGCGATCCTTCACCGAGCACCACTGGAAGATCTTCGTGACGGATATCTTCAGGCACGACCACCATCGCACCGAGGACAATTGCAACTTCCTGGAGCTGGTCTTTGACCCACAGGGCAGTGGACCCGGTCAAGGCATCGGTGACCTGGACATGCGCCTGGGCAGGATTGGAGTGGCCAACAATGCGTTGAAGATACCCAAGCGCAGCTCCTTCCGCGATGCCCAGCTTGCTCTTCTGCCCTCTGACCTTACGATCCCCCACCGCACGCTTTACCTTGTTATCTTCGACAATCAGCACCCGGACACCTATTTGGCTTGCACCAAAATCCGGCATGTCCAGCCACTCATTTACAAGTAAGTAAGATTAAAGAAAACTATTGGGAACTATTAAATGGGACCCTAATACTACCCGACACCATTTTTCAACTTCGAACCAAACCAACTTTTTGTGAAAGATAGAGATCTTAGTAATGGTCTGATGATTTTTGTTTTCTTATGGCATAACTTTTTCTAAAGAATTTTTAAAAGCTCGTATTTGTTTGTAGTGCTTATTTCAGAGGTAGCGATTTTTTTTACACATAACTTTCACATATAATATAATTTTGAGTTTTAATAAACTTTGCCATTCCAAAAATCTGATAAAAGCTTCTGCTATGGAAAAAAACCATAACTCACTGAACAAATTTAATGCCCCACATCTAACGTGGAAAACGTGCAATTTTGTCGAGTAATCAGTCTTCCGTTTATTAATCCTTATTTGTTTTAAGTTTGTGTTTGTAAAATATTGTGAGCTGGTGAAGGGATGAACAGATTTTAAGGTGTTGTAAGGAAGAAGGTTAAGTAATCTACACATGTATGTATATAAATATGAATGCCGTTTGATAGTTATTGTCAGAAGTTTTGAATATACGCCGGTCGACAATCAATTCGAGCAATGGCGAAAATAAATCGAAGAAAGACAGAGAAGTCTAGAGTGTGGGACTTCATTAAACAAAAATTGCAGTGAGAAACGAGGCCTTTTAGATGAAAAGCATGCCAACATGCAAAGAATATATAAAACATTGCTGATATTTGTTTTAATTTTAAGCTGCAAGAGCCACTTAAATTGGTTGGATTGGTTTCATACACTGAAAAGCATTAATTTAATTATTTTTTGGTACAAAATATGAAAAAAATTTAAGTGTACATACTTCATCCATTTTTGTATTTCTTACGTCCCGATATATCGTTACCAACGAGGTTGTATTTTTAAAACATCGATACGCACAGCTGTTCCAAACATCGATGTTTTTGCAGCTCTCAGCTGTTGAACCACGAAACCCAAACAAAGAAAATATGCTTTGAATTTTTCGTCTTTTCGCAGGACCTTCATAAACTCGGGAGGTGTCAAGGGTGAGGTGACTTTCACTCAACGCTCCAAGTTCGATCCTACATTCCTCAACTTCACCTTGGGCGCACCTTTGTCGCAACATGTCAGCCGCAAGTTTGCCGAAGATGTGGCTGCCTTCCGCCTTCACAGTATGCCGCCCGTCCCACATCGCATTGGAAAGGAGGACTTTTGCCTGACCACTGGGAACATGCACAACCCGCGCGACCTCCAGGAGAAGGTGCCCCCACCTGGCTACGGCACACAGGAGCAATATGCGGTTGGAGACCTCTCCGGAAAATTGCAGGGCCGCAATAAGGCATATTGGCATCAGTATGTGCTGCCCGGAACCAGCTCTGAGCTGAGCGGCCTCTACTGGGACGTCTTCTTACCGCTTCAAGGTCGCTACAGCATAGCCCAGAGAAGTTTGGTGGTCTACACATTCAACCGCACGGATGTGCAGAACATCACGAAAAGCATCTGGGGCTGCTCCTCCCTTAGCCAGTACCTGCGAAATGGGATATACCAGCAGCCGATGTTTACAGCTCAGGTGTGTAGAGGAATTTGAACTGGTACAGACATATCATGTCAGTATGTTCTATTTTACTTCTAACATATACTCTCACAGGTCCTGTTCCGTTATCCGGTGGTGGGACGAGTCATCTTCCGACAGCCCGCCGAACAGCCTTGGCAGGACACCACCGTGCTGATTGAGTATCTCATCCAGGCGGATGGGTCAACGCAAAACACCACATTCGACCATCGCTGGGCCATCCACAGTAGTGCCCCAGGAAAGGACTTCTACGATTGGCAGCAGCGTTGCCTCTCGGCCGGTGGCGTCCACAACCCGTTCAAAGTGGACTGGGGTAACCGCAGCGCTGACGACTTCTGTGAGCCCCAACTGCCTGCCATGTGCCGAATGGGAGCCTTGGACGCTAGGCTTGGAAGGTTGACCATTGCCGGAAGGAGGCGGACAGCACAGAAGTATAGCCGCCGCATGTTTGTTGACGGGAATCTGCCGCTTTCTGGTAGACACAGCATTCTGGGAAAGTCGTTGGTCATCTACGAGGACCATGGGCCGAAGGCCCGGGGCGAGAGGCTTGCGTGTTCCGCCGTAATAGGACACTTCCGCAGAAAAGTGGTGGCTAAGGATTGGTATGCCAACGGGGATGAGCTGACAGTGAGTGGGAGGGTGGAGATCACGCAGCAGTCGGAGTACGATGTAAGCAATGTAGATGTGCAACTTAAGGGCCTGAAAAAAAACGGCGGGTATCACATACACAAGGTAAGATTCGTGTTTAGAGAAAGCTTTACCAGCTAATTGTTGATTATCCACAGACTCCTGTTGAGGCCAATTTGGCCTTTCCATGCGAGGCTTCGACTCTCTATGGACACTGGAATCCATTCGAGGTGAACGCTAAGTCGTCGCCTCCCCCTAGGCAGGGAACGAGCGATCAGTACGAGCTGGGTGACTTGAGCGGAAAGTTCGGCGGACTCAACGGACTCACCCAGTACGAGGATTCCTACAACGATACGAACCTGCCGCTCTTTGGGTACAACAGTATAATCGGACGATCGGTGGTCATTCACAAGCATGAGAGAAATGCTCGATGGGCCTGCAGGTGCTTTCACGTAATAAACTACGATTCATTGAGCTAATAGAGATTCTTACAGTACTTTAGAACGTGGTTATAGTCCAAGCGAGGCACGAGAACTCCGAGCCATAGCATCGTTTCACCATCCCACTGGCTACGCCTACGGATATGTTAAGATGACGCAATTGATCCACAACGATGGCAGCCAATCGGAGACAGTGATTGAGATCAAGCTGCGACACCCCGGCAAGAACGATCGGAACTCCACTCGCAACCACAACTGGCAAATTTTCGTAAACCCCGTGGGAGTGGACGCCGCCGTCAAGCCAACCAGCACACGCTGTGTAGCCGGAGGGTATGTGTGGAATCCGTTTTATACGCAGCTGGCAGATCCACTGAATGTGAGCCCTCTATTGCCCGATAGCTCCCTATAGATACACTTTTTGATGGCCTTTTCCTGCAGCTTGATCTCTACGAACAGGAATGTGCTCCGGACAATCCCCTTCGATGCTATGTTGGCGATGTGGGGGCCCGCATGGGCACAATAGGTGAGTGATCAACGGAATCACATTTTTAAAATTCTCACTACAATGGGTTTCAGATCTGGGCGGGGAGCGAGTGGTTTTCACCGACGCAAACTTTCCCCTAGAGGCGCCAGTGGGGGCTATTGGTCGGTCAATTGTCATCTTTGGACCTGATCATTCACATGAACGATTCGCCTGTGCCAATATAGAGCCAGACCACAACGTCATCAAGTATATCAACCTGCAGAAGCCACCGCGCTTTGTGGTGTAAGTAAGATTCTACCTCAAGCAACCTCACGTTAATGTGGATGGATATCCTTATCGATAGGGCACAATTCCTGGAGGAGCTGCGTTCTGTGATGGGAATCCCTGAATGGATGTTGGACGTGGACGCGCGTAAGACGAAGGAGCTGCATGGTGGCGCATGCATCCAGATGATTATTCACTTCAAGGGTCCCCTCGCCCACCGGTTGGAGATGGACATGTCCCGTCTCATAGCTGCTGGTCGACTGGATGCCCCCAGTCTATTCATTCCCGGCTACGTTAATCAAAAGCGCAAGCCGACTATCTCCTACCGTACCTGCGGGGTGAGGGATACCAATGAAAAGCGTGAGTAAATCATTTGTGAGTGAAATATAAATTCTCTGGAGTAATATTTTCCATCTATCCCCACAGGTACCAAAAGTTTCAAGGGCCGATTCTCGTCTTCTAGTTTTGCACCCATTGAACCAAAGCCTTTTGTAATAGCCATCATAGTCATCAGCCCAATAATTATATTCCTGTAAATACTGCTCCTAAGTTAAAGTATAAGTAAAGATGGAATCCTTTTAGCAACAGTTTGTCAAATGCGTTCACTTTTTAACTTTCCACCACTATTCGGAAACCCACCACCTTTTTATGTGCGTGTCTTCTTCGCATGCGTGAAACTCAATCGATTTTTCGCGTATGTACTTACTTTCCTTTTTCAGTGGACAACAGGCAGTCTGTTAGAGGTGTCCGTGATTTTGGTGAATAATCATTTTCAGAGCTATACAGAATGCGGCTAATTATCGTTGGGATATTGCTGGGCCTGGTTTACAGTTGCAGTGCGACCATTAGTGGACCCTTTCTCTTCTGGGGCCACGACAAGGTGTCCACCTTAAAAACCCAGGCGCTAGTTGAGGCCGGCAGCAGGGAGGAGTCGTTGACGCAATTGTTTGGTGAGGCTAAGGCCATTGTAGTTTTCATGAGGAACACCACAAGTCGCTTGGAGGGCATTAAGTACCCTAGGTTCCAGAATCTGGTGAAGAGTTGCACTTGGACCTATTTACCAGAGCGCAGCCTGGCGACCGAGCCTTTTGGTCGTAATGCCAAAATTGAGGTGTGTATACCCAGAAAACGAGTTGATAAATATTCCTGTATATCAATCCCTAAATTTCTCGTGTAGGTCATAAGCTTGTCTGGTCACGGGGAAGACGACGACGCTGAGATTGTGACGGCCTACAATGACGCTTTGAGGATCTATGGCGATGGTGAGGTTCTTGGAATCCTAGCCAGTCGCGAGGAGGAGGCACATTTCCTCGCCAAACGTGAGACTGCCGAGGAAGAATCCGAAAAGACAGCTGAGGGAACTCCTACTGACTCTGCCGAGGAGATAGAGGCCAGCTTCATTTACGTAGCCGAAGGAAACAAAGCGGTTCTCTCTTTGAACGGTCCGCCAGAGCTGCTGCTTACCAACGAGACATTGCGCCTGGAGGAGCACATTAAGCAGATAACTTTCGACGACCAGCATGCCAAGGGCTACGGTCGCCTTAGCATAACATTTATGCACAGCGGCGAGAAGTGCACGCTCCGCTTTAAGTTCACGCTGGCGCGTGGCACGTGGACACTACGAAACGTCGAGGTGGAGTACAGGGAACTCAAGAGCGTACTCTTAGCACGCGGCGACGAGTACACTCTTCCCTCGGCACCTCTGGGCTTCTCCTATCGCTGCTCCGCCAACGATTTGAGCTTTGTCAACCCTAACAAAAACGAGAGCCTACAGAACCTCATCCTGTCCGACTTCCAGGTGCAACCCTGGCTCAACGGGCGAAAGGAGTTCGGCGAGGTCTACGATTGCGTTGGCTTCGTCTCGGCGCCTATCCTGTCGGGTCTCTTTGTAGTTACTCTTCTGCTCGGCATCCTAGGCCTCGGGATCTCCGCCATGCTCAGCATGCACACCCCAAACCGATTCGAGAGCTCGCGTAGCAAGCAGTTGACCTTTACGGTTCAGGAGTAGGCACTCTTCTTATTCAACATTAAAAATAGTTTAATTTTTGCGCGCTGCAAAATGTTTGTTTTGATCACTTACATGGCTGCCAACCCATTGGCGTTATTCACCTTGGCCATTGAGCTGTTTCTTATACATCTGCTTTTTGTGCTGGTCGTGCTCTACGTCTATGTTCTTTGGTATTACTAAAACCTAAAATGAAGTTAATTAAAAACATTCTGACTAAATCAAGATATATGCTTAATAGCGAAATTCCACTGAGATTTTTCCTTAATTACTCTTACACTAAAAATCAAATTACGTAATTATATCTTATCTGGCCATAATATATGTTGGCGCTATTTACGTATAACTATGTACAAATATATCCGCATTTCGACCCTATTCCATTATAGTTTTTCCAATCATTAAAGGAGACGAAGATAAAGAGAGATCAGTCGTCAGGTTTATTTCTCACATGGCTCTCTTTTCCAGAAGGCAAAGTTCCACTTTGAAACGTGAAAAGAGAAAAGCGAATTGCCTTCCTTGTGGACTCCCAAAAATGGAGCTAAGGAGTGTTGTGCCTGCTCGTCTGGCTGGAAATTCTGGTTATCTTAGTTCAGTGGCTCAGTTCACTCCAACCGCACACACCGTCTTTTCATGCGTACGTTTTTGTATATACATATTTATCTTTTCGGCTATCTGTATCTTACTTTCATTGAATGTGCGCAATTAAGCCCCATTCAGCCACGTATATGCGTGCATAAGCTAGAGAAGTCAGAGCTAAGCAAAGCCCTGAGCCTTTTATTTATGCCATATTAACTTACGACTATTCATTTGTTTTTGCAGGGCTGTATCGCTCCATTCAAAAGCGAGTGTTGGCTCCTTTTTTCGTTTTTCTGTGTGTGAGTTTGCTCGGGCATGCTTTGGGCTGCAATTCAAGTTTTACTACTGACACCCGATACGATACAGGGGACAGTCGGCCCTCGCTGCTGGCTTTGGCCACCCACCTTCTTTTTATTTCGTAAAATATGTGAGCCCCTCTACAGCCGCCTACTTTGAATAAGCCAAACAAGAGCATCAAAAGTGGGAGATGGGATCGAGAGATGACTTATTGTTTTGCAGAATGCCGTCTGCAAGTGATTGCGTTTACTTTTCCAAGTTACTTTTACTGTCAACCAAACGCACAACCCAGATGCAGCCTGCCTCATACCCATGTAGCATGCTGCACGCGGAAGTTCGCTGACTTAGAGCGAGAGGCAGAGCGAGAGGTAAAGAGAGAGAGAGAGCAAAAGTTGCACCTTACTCTGTAATAAGAATCGCAATCGAACAGAAACCGAAGCAGAGACTGAATGGCCGAGGGCACTAGGCAAGCCTCTTGAGAAGCAGGGAACAAGTTTGTGAAAGTTGTTGTCAAACAGCTGGCAGCGACAGTCTGACAGCCTGTCAAGGAGCCGCGGCATATCAGCTCACGATGTGCCACAGAAGTTAGGGGAACCGGTATTGGATGGTCATTGGAACTGGTGAGGGATTTCTCCATTGGTGGCCATCTTTCGATGTGATGGCCAACAGTGGTAAAAGTTCAAGGCTAATTGCAACTCAAACTTTGCATGCTAACTTCTCTACAGTAACTTTTATAACAATGCTTATCATCATGTCTCAGCAATGTACAGTATAAGCTTGTAATTTAATTATTTTCACCTACTGCGGAAGCTGGAACTGAGAGGAGGAATCCGATGCTAAAGAAAAGGGAATACCATTAATATCAGACTTACATATATCAATTCATAGTGCTGCCAACAAAGGGGGCCATCAATGGAAATGTGATTTGTATTTGTACGAGTGACATTGTGGCTGCTGCAATTCCGCTGATGTTTATCTAACAGATTCGTACACTTGACGGATGGTGAAGAAATTCATGAGGATTACGAATGGGCTCCATTATAATCAGTAGATTGATTGATAGAGGGAGTGAATCACAACGTGAATATGGGCATCGAAAGAGTGCCATACGAGATCAATTGAACTTGCGAGTTTATCCAATGCACTTTGAACAGCTTATTGTCATGTCATGGTTATGCAGAGTCTCACTGGCTTTAATTTGTACTGGCACTGATAATTGGGGAAACTCACAGCTGCAAGCCACTGAGATGTTGTGGTCCCAGTCAAGTCGGGAAAAAGTTCGCAGGCGCAGCTCGCAAACACTCGAAATGAAAACAGTAAAATCAAACTGGAGACATTTCACACAAGCACATAAAGTGGGGTTGGAGCAACCAACAAGCGTCTAGAGTCTAGACTCTAGAGACAAGCGGGGAGCCGACCATTTGACGCATTTAGTAAATCAAACTGTTAATTACTTGATTTGGTAAGCTGTTTCCCAATAAACAGAGCACATCAGACCCACAAAAAGTGTCTTGTCTGCTTTTTCCAATGTCTACTATTTTTCTATGCATTTACAAATGTGTCGAGCAATTTCGGTCGTGGTGGCTCAGTCCTAGATGAGGTTACCTTGTTGAAAAGTGAAATGCGGTTAGAAAGGAAAGAAAATCTGGAGATCGCCAGAGTTACACCGGCTCTCCTCTGTCACACCTTTACTGGCAACCTTGACTTATTAAATCTTTATTTAAGGTACTTTGGTCGTCCGGATTTGATGGCCATGTCGCAAACTTAACGCCCTGTTAAGCCGGCTAAATGCAAATATCACAAAGGTGGTCGTAGTTGTGGTACCACAAAAGACCTGACGCAAATAAATGGGCCTGATCCCCCAACCGCGCGAGTTCACCATTTTCCAACAGTAGCTGTTAACTGCTTCGCTTTGGTTCAAGCTTGTGGAGTGTCTTCCAATTGCGCTAGACGATCAAAACGATGTGAGCAACACTTGAAGGTGCCGCAATTTTCGTATACTTTAGCCGTTTGGCTCGTATGAGTATGGCCAAATACAATACAATATCTGGATGGGTAACGCCATACGAATTTTTTCCAAAAAACTGGCTCTAGGGACGGGTCTAGGCTCTCGAAAAATTATTATATTGTCTCGAATCTCGGATCTCGATACAGAGAGTCAGTTTAGTGGGCCAACATTTTTCACCGCTTTCAGCCAGAGAGTAGAGAAGCCTCCTCTGGCAGGGGTAATTAGGACCCCCAAAGCAAAGCAAAGCGTTTTTTTCACATATGTATGTTTACGTACATATGTGTGTACATGCATAACCCACAGGCTGATATGAAATTCTGGAATATATTGAAGTCGAACTGGAAACTCTGCTTGTATCCAGAGCGGAGAGAAAGCTCTTTTCCATTAGTTGGCTCGATATGGGTACACACCATTCGAATTTTTAAACGATAAGGGACGTGTGTACTCTGTACTCTGTAGGACATCTGTACTTTAGTGGTTTTTTTCAAATTTTAAATCTTTTCTACATATGCCATCTACATCTAAATCTACATCACTTCTCACAAGACCGGTGATCTGATAGATATAGATAGATAGATATATCCCTGCCGAATGGTGTTTTTAGATTTCTTGTATCTTCAAAACTGCAGATTTTCGCGATTTGCGGTGTTGGAAAGGAGCGGGTCGAAATTTTGAAATGTAGCAGCACTTGTAGCAGTGAGAGCATACAGCCATTTGGATGCAAAATTTGGTAGCTCTAGCTTTTATAGTTTTTGAGAACCAGGCGCTCAACAAGACGGTCGGACAAACGGTTGACAGACGGGCAGATGGCTAAATCGACTCAGCTATTGATGTTGATCAAGAATTTATATATTTTGTGGGGTCGGAAACAGTGTTACAGTTTTCCACGCAAATACAACAAAACCTATATACTCTTTGAGTACCGGGTATAAAAAGGGGGGAAAAACAACGGCTGCTTCATCTGCCTTCGGGGCCTCAGCCGAAAAGAGGTGAAAAACGTCAAATAAACCAGAACTGTCCAGAGGTTTTCAAAAATTTTCAGGATATTCACATTTAATTAAGAATAAAATGCATGCTCCATAACGAGTCAGCGTTCGGGTGGGTTTTAAAACTTTGATTTAACCATACAAAAATATATTATATTATATATATTTTCCTTTACCTACTCGCAAGTAAGCGCGGCTAACAGTTTTGAGCCTTTTCAATCGATTTAACTGAAACAACTTCATAACTTCATAACAACCAGGTATACAATTCCAAATATCATATTTTGTCTGTTCTCTTTTTTCCTGTCCTTTTAATTGCAGTTTATCGTATAAAAATGTATATTATAAAAAATATATATATAAATAAATATATTTGACCCTGTGCCTTTCAAAACTTTCAGCACCAAAGTTAAAATTGCACCAAAGCACCAAAATAAAAATGTATATTATAAAAAATATATATATAAAAAATATCCGACCCTGGCCTTTCAAAACTTTCAGCACCAAAGTTAAAATTGCACAGCATCCGAAGCAACTGAGCAAGTAAATTATTTAATCAAGCTAAAAAGGCCAGAGACTCCACTGTGCGTCTCTGCCAACGAGTAAGGTGGCCGCTTCTTTGGTCATGACATTCGCATTCAGTATTTAGGCTCGAACGGTTGTGTTTAGCTGCTCGCTCTAAGAGTATTCGTTTGTATCGCTGTTGTGCTCTTTCATGGAGGCGCGTGCTGCAGAGATAGCCAAACGTTAAGCCGTGAGTTTTAATGCAAGAGTGAGACGACAACCGCGGGCACCAAAATAATTCCGCGTGGTATTTGGCACATAAATGCTGAACAACTTAATAATTCATTAACAAATTGTTGTTCTCGTTGAGATGCTGGTGGCATTTCCGAGAAACTGACAGCCTTAACAGAAGGCAACGTCAATTCTTTGATTTGCGTCTGCACTCTATGAGTACAAGCCGACTCCGACTCCGACGCTATGCCTTTCAAATCTTTCAGCACCAAAGTTAAAATTGCAAAGCAGCCGCAGCAACTGAGCAACAGCTACTGTGACGCCAACTGGAATTAAATGAGAAGAGCCGGATAGCCTCTTGGGGAGCTCGGCTTGGATTAGAGGCACATTTACTCACAAACACAAGTTAGTGGTACGAAAAGATTCCATTTAAGTGGTAGTGGAAAGAAGTGCACCCTCTCATCGGGTTTTTAGTATCTGATTAACCAGGGATTGACTTATATATGACTATAATTTCTTGAAATTTTGAAATATTTCAACATAACCTGTGGATAGTCACGCAATTCACCTGCTTAGTCGGGAATTGGCTAATTTATGCAGATTAATTTTCTCGCTCCCAGGCGATAGGCGACTCCAATTAACGGGGCTTTCGGTGACCATAATATAACCATATTCTAATTGAATGAATGAAGTTAACCCAGTTTGGGTCTGCCTTGTTCCCACCATAATTGAGGTGCCGGCAGCGAGATAGAAAAACAAAAAAAGTTAATATGTATGAATACGATTGTTTTCTGAGCTGCCAAACTTTGATGGCGCTGAGCCAAGACAAAGTGCCAAGTCTGACTTGAAGCCAGTCTTCGGTAAGTAGGTGAGCCGCTGCCTGGGGCTGGGCCTAGTTCGGTGCACCACCTCCCGAGCCTTTCTCTGTGGCTATAGACCATTTATGCTTAATGATAAAATCAATCAATGAAACTTGGATATGATAATTTAACTCTCGAGACATTGGAAATTTGACATTCTTCGGCATGTATGTATGTATATATGGATGGTATGGGAACAGTTAGAAGGTTTCAAAAATTCGAAGCTCTCCAACAACAAGATTCTTTGCCATGCTAAATTTGTGAGTTTGTCTTACGACAATACATTTTTGCCGCATTGTCTCGGCCTGGTTTTGGGGTCACTTCGGTGTTTGAGTGTGGAGAGTCGCCTTACTTTATCGGCAGATTGCTAATCGTAGTCAACTCTTAATGGAGTCTGCACGCCAGCTCTATCTCCAGCCAGTTCTCGTAGTGGATACCATTATTACAACGACAAAAACCAGGGGAACTCACAAAAAGTTAACACGAAAAGTCTCTCGATCGCATGTAACGAGCTCAGCTGAGTAATAACAATAATAAAGAATAATAGAAATAAGTTATGTTTATCTTGTGGTCAGCAACAAATCATTTCACATTACCACATCACCACATTTCTATTTTCGTTTCTTTTTGCTGGCAGGGTTCATTAAACCGTTTTGGACTGAGACCCAGAGCAGAGTGTAACTAAAAGCCACAGCTGAAAATACATACGTACATATGTAGCTGTGGAGTGCTGATGTGTGTGAGTTCATATACTCACACACATGTACAGAGCAACACATACTGAGCTTCCGCTCCAGCTGTCTCCGATGTGTTCTGTAAGCCCAGCAAAGCGCATTCCGGGTGTCATGGACACGTTTCTATGGCTTTCCCAGCACCGATGTCAGCTTTCAATTTGTCGCTCGTGTAGTCATAATCGTCTTGTAACGTCAGCTCTTCATGTTTGTCTTTCTACCCATTTCTAGCCCGCTCTCACAGTAGCCGCTTCGCAAAGTTATGTTTGTTTGCTTCTTTTACCTACATTTTTTGCCGATCATGTCTCGGTTCTATCCGTCCTCGGGCATGTGCTTAGAGAAATATCCCAGACTGCCAACTTATCCGATATAATCCTTCACGCCATTTTCCATTTTCACGCTTCATTGCAACACTGTGCAATAATATTCCCACACCGCTGGGCCCATGGCCAGTGCCTGGCCCGAGTGAAACGCTCGAACATTCTTTCCGAGGCGAACACACCTCTGCTCTCATAACGGAATTTTTTGCCAAAGCGCACTGAGAACAAAAGCTAAGCAAGGGACCCCTCCCTCAGCTTTCCATCGCTCTGTCCCAGGCTGGACTTCAATTAAGGCGTCTACCTGTCCCATGAGCCGGTAATGCACGTTGTCTGAACTCTTTGGGTGGGTCACTGTCAAATCCAGCTCCAAAACCAACTACAAACCCCCCACCCGCAGCCCCTTTAAACACACTCACTTGGCCGACGCTGTGGTTGGCTGCTTTTGCATGGAGCATAATGGTAAGCATAAAATGTTCAGTTCTCGTGAAGACTCTACTGTTGTTGTATCTGCTCCAGCGGTCTTGCTATCCGGTGTGTCCGATTCCTCATGCAAGCCCAGTATCCAAATATAGTGTAGTAACGTGGGTAAAGTGAAGACAAGACGATGGCGTAACAGTAACCCTGCGGGTTCCCCAAGCTACATACATATGTACGTCCAAATGTACATATGCATGTATGTATGTATAAATGTTCTATCATACAAACTTCAATTTTGTATTAGTTTCACAGTTGGCTCGACACTCCATCCCATCATTTAGAGCTAAAAGTCATTATAAAAGGTATTTTGAAAGGTATGAAATTCGCAGTGTTGCCTTGAAGAAAGTTGTCATATTTAAAATGGAAACTCCCACATATGTATGTATATATGTAAATATGTAAACAACTTTCAGCTCCTTGTGACTGTGTGACTGCCCCGACAATTGTACGGCTCTTCTGCAATTTTCAGTTACCTGTTTTTATTGCGCATCGCCATATGTTTTGATAAATTATGTGGCATTCCCAATCCCCAGTCCACTATAGCGGAGAAAGTGCCGATTGTTTTTCAGCGATTTCTTGCTGCAAACATTTTCCTTATCGTAAATAAACAAGTGTGGTATTGTGTCTTGCCTTGCAGCCCCGAAGACACACAAAAACCGAACGAAGCACTGAGCTTACGCACTGAGATGGAGCCGACTCCAAACATGCTGTAAGCAGACTCACCGCTCTCGCATCCGCATCAGCATTTGTAAAAAACACATTCCATTAACACATAACCCTCGATTACGGAGAGAGTAACCCACAATTCGCACCCTACCACGGATAGAAAACAGCTGCTCCTGAAGAACCACCAGGACGCTGTCCTGCAGACGCACCCGCTCTTCAAGTCTCCGTCCCTCTCGGTCGGTCCAATGGCAGACAGCAGGGAACGCATTCGTGGCCCGTCACGGGATGGACGGGAGTTTCTCACCAGCCCCCGACAGGTTCTCCGCCGACTGATGCTTCTGTCCGAGGGAAGACAGTACCGCGAGGCCGCAGGAGTCGTTGGAAGGTTAGGCCCCTCTGTCCTACGTTCGGTAATTGCCGAACTTCCGCTTGATCTGCTGCTGGAGCACCTGCCACACAGTGCCTACTTGCTGGAGTCCTTTTTCACAAGGTAAGTGAGTCGAAATACATACATACATTTTAATCTCATAACACATTACAGGCTGACCACCTTAAACACAACCCCTAAGCCGGATGTACCTAGCGAGACGGTGGCCTGGCAGCTGGTCCGATTGTTTTCAAATCCCCACGAATCCGGACTGCGGCAGAGATGCACAAAGCTGCTCCAGGCTCTGGTGAAATACGAGCCAAATCTTCGCCAAACCTTGCGTGAGCGGCGACGTAGCTTTGACAACGCAGTGCAGGGATTGGGCGTACATGGGCTGACCACGTCTGCCTCGGGGCAGCTGATCTCGCTGCACGTGGCTCTAAAGACAGAGCTGCAGCGGCACGTGGATACCTACAAGATGGCTATACACAAGCTGGAGGAGTTGAGCATGGTAACGAACAACCAGGACCCGGCCCACTCCTCGCACCAGCGCCTGCTAGCCATTAACTATGGAGACATCCAGCAACGGTTGATCGACAATAAAACGCTGCTGACCATGTTGGACAAACCCATATTAAAGCAGCTTCAAACCCTCGTGGAGAATTTAAGCACCCGCGTGGAGAACGACAAGGAGGTCCTCTCCTGCGTGGGCCAGGTGAAGCGACTGGACGCACAGGCCCACGTGGAGAAGCGCCCAGCCGCTGGACTCCTGATGAACTTCTCGCGTGGCTGCGAGGTCGTCCTTCAAACGATGGGGCCGGAAAGCGTTCCACCCGGTCACCCGGCTATGTCCAAAGCTACCATGGCTACCGGTGGGAGCAGCTGCAGCGATGGATACCACTCGGACGATTCCGCCAGCGATGACGGCAGGTAAGACATTCCTCTCTCTTACTCTGTTCTGTCCATTGACCGGCTTAGATGGGGGCTACACCCACATCGCAGTCACATCCAAACTCTCTCTCATTGACATGTGGGACTCTGCCCACGATCTTGTTTAATCCACAGCGAAATCGTATCGCTCTATCGAAATCTGTACATAGAGAACCGCGCAGATGCCCTGGAGGCGCTGGACAGTCTGCCCCAGCTAAAACACGCCCACAGTCTAAAGGAAAAGATACTATTCTCCATGATCGTAGTAAGTAGCGGGAAGGTTTATTTCCCCTCACTGGAACATGTTTAGGTGCCGGTCTTTGGTTGAATGTACACATGTCTGTCCTTTCACTTATGGAAAGTATTGTAATGGAACATTCAGAAAGTCATTGTTTATTTCATTGCTAATTCAACGTCAGTAGAACTTTGAATTTTCAGTGCTATAAAGAGACATTTTATACGAATCTTGATGGCTAAGCAAAGGCAATATAATATGAGGATGACGCTCATACATTGGATTGGCAGCCTGCATGCAAGATTTTGACGAACGACGAAAAGCCAAGAAACCAGCCCCGTTTTCGCTCGATCACATATGAGAGCGTACAAATCTAAAAATACGCACAAGCCAATCTGACTATTTTCGAGACGAATATATAACACCGCAAAAGTTATTATTCCCCCTGTTCTAATTGTTGTATATCGTATGAGAGTTCTTTACATTCTCAGTTTCCAATAATTATATGCTCATAAACTGCTTAGCTCAATATGCGTGCATGTATGGTACATATGTATGTAGGTATGTATAGCTGAAACTACATCAGGCATCAGCTACGCACAGACCGAGACATTTTGTACGCGTTCAAGGACTTTAGCTTGTATCAGGATCAATGGGCAGAGCCACTCTAATTAAACTAAAACTGTTCTCTTTACACAGCTTTCTTTCCGCCTATGCCACGGGATGCGGGATCGGAAAGTGATGGAGGTGCGCCAGGTCCTTAGCTGCGGATTGGACAGCAGCAGCGAGACGACCTTGGCCTTGGATCGGGCTGTGCGCCACCACCTGCACGAGACCACGGACAGTTTTCCCCTGGGAGAGATTGAGCAATCCGTCTTCAACCAGGTTCTATCCACGCTTCACGAGTACCCCTGCCTGGAGTCGTGTCCCACGCTCACCAATTATGTGAGCGCCTGTGTGCGGCTGGCTTGGCGAATGATCAATCAGAAGGCTCCCTATTATCTGGACATGGACTTCAATCTGGGTAAGAAAATATTTTTTAATATTAAACCAAACTATAAACGTATGATTGCTTAACATACTAAGGATTCCTACGCCCCGAGAAGCACGAACCTCATTCGCAATCCGACCGCCGATCGGACCTTATCAAGGCCTTCCTCTGGCCGGCCCTGATGCAAAACAACCAGTGCGTCTTCAAGGCAGTTGTGACCACCTGAGACCCGAGACGGAACAGATACTCTTGTCTTAAGATACTCTTACACACTTTGTATATACTTGAACGCTTACCCAATAAAGATTATCCCTATCTAAGCATAGCTGATGGGCATCAGACGGACGCATTGGCTCCGGCTCTTTCTGGTACAAAGGAGTGGGTGCTCGGCGTAAAACTGAACAATCTCGCGTGGGGAGCCAAATATCCGCTCGTGGAGTTTCTTTTGTCCTATGGCGAATCGTTGCCGCCTGTCGATTTGACGCACGAAGAGGTGGTAAAACTGATCACCGACGCAGATACTCACGATGTATTTAATGCAGACGTCGGTGGCCTTGAAGGGGCGTACCAGACAGGCACCATCCTCCCTTCCAGACAGCATGCGCTCAGCAGTGGGACGGTTCACTGTGAAGTAGTAGGCCTCCGTTTCGATGTTGTGCTCTTCGATCTCAGCATAGTTTACGTCTGCATCGTCTGCGCAGAGGGATCAGTGAACATCGGGAGCCCAAATGACTCGAAAAAACTCACCCGAAGTGACATAATCGCTCTGATGCTGCTGCTGGGGATCGTCATCAGTATCCGATTTGTCAACATCCATATTCACGTCACTGTCGCTCGCCTGACGTTGGTATACAGCGCAGTAGCGGCAGCAGCTGTGCTTGGCTATTCCGCCCAGTAAGCGCGCAAAAAGATTGTGCAGAACCGTCCAGTAGACTCGTGCACACCAACAACACATGGCGCCAAACAATCAAAGTCTCTGTTTCTTCTGATATAACGAATCCATCCAGAAGACCTTGAAATCGGTTCGCTATTTACAACGACTCGTTTTGCTGCTTTTGCGCATATCTCTCGTGTTCGCGCCCCACTGAAGACTGAGAGTAGACCCACAAGCAAACCCCCAACCATAAGCAGAACCAGAAACAGTCGCGAAGCACAGACCCGGACCCGGAGCTGCCTATTAATTAAAATGTGCTCAGCTCTGGGGCTCAAAATACCCATATGTTAATAGCATATGTTTACATACATATGTACATATGTATGTATTTCTTTTAAATATATGAAATACACACCAAACTCACATGACTTTGGAATCGGGTCGGTTTTGGGGACTGTTGGGGCCGCAGGGAGTAACTGGATCCATGTTCAGATTGCGTCACGCTTATCTCTATGTTCCCACAAGTTGCGGCAGTAACTAAATGGTCTATACTCCATTCACTCTTTCCTGTTGATGGCATTTGCCTACGCTCTCCCGATCCTAATGTTACTAGTCGCGGGATGTCGGAGAAGATGATATATCAGATTCCCATTGTTGCAGCCGAGTTGTCTATATATGCCCCGTGGCAACCACATAGGAAGCGTAAAGCCAGTGCATTGCTTGGGCAAAGTAAATTAGTCGAAGATAATATTAAATGTGAATATCTAACCTGCCACCCCTATCACTTCGCGAACTTCTCCGTTCCAAAAGAATGCATAAAGAACGGGTCGAAATGTTACCCCTACGATCGGGGTGCGGTTCGGGTTGGTGCGACTGACAAGGGGTGAGACAAGAACAAACTAGAAGGGACGTGTGAGACGCTACTTACGAGTCACAACTTTTATACCCGGTACTTACTAAACCATCTGTACCTTAACGGTTTTTATACCCGGTATTCGAAGAGTAAATAGAGTATATTGTATTTGTGTCCGTCCGTCCGTCCTTATGAGCGCCTGGATCTCATAAACTATAAAAGCTAGAGCCACCAAATTTTGCATCCATACTTCTGTATGCTCACACTATTACAAGTGTATTTCAAAAATGACCCCCGCCCCCTTCCGCCCCAGCAAAAAGGCGAAAACCTCCCAAACCTACAATTTTAAAGATAAAAGAGAACTAAACACGCCATTCCGTAGGGAATGACCATATTTATCAGATCACCAAATCCGATTGGACCATTATTATAGCCACAATAAAGAAATAAGTATTCAGTGGCTAAACACACCCTGTCCCGTAGCTTTTGTTGTTATTTTTTCACATTCTCTCATTTACACTCTGCTTCCTGCAGTGTGCAGCAGCTGCCTCTTCCTCTGCCTCGTCTCTGCCTTTGCCATGACTCTGCACTGTTTGGCTCTAGGGAAGGGGGGCGAGCTAAAGGAGCGTGTTGGCGTGAGAAGTGTTGTAGATGTAGATGACAGATGAACCGCTTGAGTACGGATGTAGTACTGAGTGTCGGGTATAAAAGTTGTAACGCATAAGAAGCGTCTCACACGAACCTTCTCGTTTTTTTTCTAATTGTACATTTTACATTTTTTCTACATCAGTCATCTACATCTTCATAACTTCTCACGCCAACAGGATCTTTTAGCTAACCCCTCTCCCCTAGAGCAGCACACTACACAACGCAGAGTGTGAATGCGAGAATATGCAAAAAACTAAAAAAATGCTGACGGGGTGGGTTTAGCCACTGCAAATAAATTTCCTCATTCTGGCTATAATAATGATCCAATCGGATCCCAAATCGGTGATCTAATAGACCTAGTACTTTCCTACGGAATAGTGTTTTTATCTTCTTCTATCTTTAAAATTGTGGCTGTGGCAGATTTTCGCCCTTTTCGAGGGCGAAATACACTTGTAACAGTGTAAGCATACAGAAGTCTGGATGCAAAACTTGGTTGCCCTATCTCTTATGGTCTCTAAGTACTAGGCGCTCATAAGACAGACATGGCTCTGTCGACTCGGCTATTCATGCTGATCAAGAATCAGAATACTGATATATACTCTAGGGGGTCGGAAATGTTTCTTTCTGTGCGTTACATACATCCAATTTTACCCACAAATACAATATACCCTATTTACTCTTCGAGTACATGGTATAATAACCTGGATCAATGGCGTTTTGGTCCATTGGAAGAATTTTTCCCTCATATTAACAATTATTCGCAGGTTAAATGACTTACTTTTTTTTTGTAGAATTAAGAGCTTAAGCAAAATAAATCTACTAAGAACAAAAAATTTTCAAGTAATAACATATTGTAAACTCAAATTAAAAAAAATAGCTTAAACTCTTTTCTTTCACATGAGCAACTTTAAACCCCATGCCATCTAAGGGTTACTGTCGTTCCACTCACACTGACTAAGCAGAACCCTTCCACTTGCACTTATAAACAGAATAGCTAGTAGACTATTTTGGACCACCTTGTATAGTTGCATCATGGTTATACCCTCAGCTATTATCCAAGATAAATGCCAAATGGGTAATGGGTGGTAACAAAGCGTGCATCCTCACATGAAAGCTCTACGTGAGTCCGATTTATCGAATAAAACCACCTCTATGAACTATTCTAAAATCTTGTCTGTGTAAATGTAATGGCGCTGGCAAGAAAGCTTTTCGAGCTTTAAATTAAATTTTTCCCAATGGTTGGCAATTTTGGCAATCTTTCCCCCGCTCACGATAAACTTTTCAAACTTATAAACGAATTAATTTATTGCGGGCATTACACCCAACTTAGTGCGGTCATGTTTATGGACATGAAATTTCCGACGAAATTTCCTACTAGAACCGAAAATGGACGTGCAAATGGCCACCCAATGGGCGACACGTGTTGATGGTCTAGTGATGGCAGTGGTGGTCGTCTCTAATGTAAATTCGTTAAGAATAGCCATGCATATTACGCTTATTCCGGGTGCAGTAAGCAAGCAGCGAAGCAATCTCTGGGAGCCACTGTTTGAGGTTGTTTGCACATTTAAAAGTTTACCAGTAATCAAACAGTGGAGTGAAGTGGAGGTGGTTTTCACTCTGCAGGCGAATCACGTGAGCCAAATGTCAATAAAATGATATTTCCAGTATATGAAGGCATTAATAACACACAATACGATCGCCCGCAGTAGAAACAGTAGCAACAACGACTGCCAATTAATATGCGGACAACAATTTTTTGTTAACCAAGCGCTGGAATGTGTTGGTTTATGGTCAGGAGAGGGGCCTGACAGAGATGGCAGTCCATAAAGCAACAAAATCGCCCAAATTGATTATGGCTAAATAATTAATGCGGGGGCTGCGTGCCCTTGGACACATTTACAGCCAACATCCGCACCGATGTTGAATCGGTCCCTTCCTTCGCCTTTCCACTAATTGTTTCTATTGTCAGTCAAGGTGTCGTCTCCGCCCAATCCGATCCGACCCGATTCGATCCGCCTCTCAGCTCCTGCCGCTGGGTCAAAGCTGGTCATCAATTACAATGAGACTGAATGAATTACAATGAGATTGAAATTTTGTACATTTTTGCGGCTACTCAAATTTATTAATCAGTCAAAGAACCACAAAGTAGAGGGTAAACATATGTACATATATGCTTGTATTCACGGCTCAATTCTGTGTCCCCTAAAGGTGGACATATATAGATTTACAAAGGCCCAAAATATAAATCGAAAATCTCACCACGAGTACGACTGCCATAAACCATAAACCTCAACATATTTGATTTATTTTTCCCTTTTTACGATTGCTTCGGCAACGGGAAGGAAAGAGGCTCAGTGGGTGGCCAACCACGTCGGAACTCACCTCATTGCCTCAAAGCACACCACACACCCTTATTCACCGCCCGACATACTCGTACGTGCGGTGGTGGAAGGTTGCCGTCAGAGCCCCCGCATTTGAATCCATTCTGCCGTCGAGCTTTGTGCGATTCGTTATTGCCAGCGCGGAAGAATTTCGCATCCGAGGTTTTGATTTGGAATTTAGGTTTGGATTTGAGAGCGAGTGTCATAAAATAATTATTAAACAAATTCAGTGCGGATATGAATGAAATGCCAAACTAAGGCACTTGGAAAAGTTTTCCATCCAAATTGTTATTGTTTACCGAAGCTGACAAGTGTCAATTGAATTAGCGCCTCCGCAGACAAAAAAAAAGAGAGAATTTCAAGGCGCAACAGGTGATTGGCGAATGTTGGAAGTGATTGTTGTATCTGTGGGAACTGTCCCGAACTGGGTGAATTCAGCGTATGGAGAGGAATCCAATGGAAACCCATCAAAGCAGCCTCCTCCAAAATTGACCATGAGCGAGAAACAATAAAGTCGTATCACCGGCAAGAGTCGATTATCGATCCTCCCTGTGTTTCAGGTAACTAGTTTGTCTCTCACTTATTTTGGCAAGCAATTATCGGCGGCCTCCTTTATGGCACCCTTTATTGCCGAGCATTTGTCTAAATAATATGAATGTGCTCGCAGTGGAAAGTACACAACATATGTTAGGCCAAAAAAACAGGCAATAAGATTCGAACGTGCTCGACCTACCTATATATTAAATGATGCTTAAGTTGTAACCAGAAAAAAACGAGACAATTACCATATAACCAATATCCCAGGGAAAGTTTATCCCTAACCTGTTGCTCTCACCGCATTTATGAGCAACGGGCATGTACAACTATGGCTAATTGATAACTGTAATATCCGGCCATTGTCCGTACTCGCCCGTGTCTCCAATTCCACTGACCGTGTCGGCGAACAGAGCATTAAATCATCTCGAAATAGCAAAATGAGTGCATCAATAGACAGAGTTCACCTGTTGCCCAAAGACAAACGCAGCCCAAATTATCGCAAATTTTTGGATTTTCTCTCGAACAGAAACGAGCCGAAACAAATAAAGGAAACCTAGTGAACGTCAAAAGTATTCTGCCTCGACAGCCAACCAGAGGGAAGCGGTCTACCTGAGAGTATATGTGAACATACATACATAAATATGTACATATGTACAGTCATGTATACATATATTCACATATATATGTATGTAAGAGCACATCATTCTGAGAATGCTTCTATGGATATCTAGCAGATGCACACGGCGCTGGTAACTGCAATTCCCGAGCCAGACCGTCCAGTAAAGAAGGAAGGGACGTTTCGTGGGAAAGACGCGGGGACGGTAGGCCGTCTTCTGTTGATTGCGCCATTGTGTATAAATTAATTAAATTAAAAGTTTCCGGTTACGCCTACAAACGACATCGCAGTGAAAAACACAATGCACTTCGCGGCAGACCAGTTAGAAATCAAAGAAGAGCGTACCCTTTCATTGAACTTTCACTCAGGGGACTTTATGAGTCAGTACGGGTACTGTATCTCAAGGAGCCAATTTTATTTCCGTAAGTTTGCGTCGACGCTGCCACGAGCTTTACCCTCAATGTTTCACTGAATCGTCTGCGGTTGTAATTCGGGCACACTTTGAAGGCGATAGACCTGAAGGTTGGTTGTCTCGTATGCTCTTCCTCTGCAAAGAACGAGTGTGTAGAGAAAAAGGATTCATTAGGTCGGGGTTTCTTCCATTCCAATTGCTTCTATAAATATTGCAACTACCATCATATAATCCGTATATATAATCCGGCAACAACAGCACCGACGTCAGCACTTTCCAAAACTCAGTCCCGAAACCGAGTCGCTGGCGATAGCCTCTTTTCTTTTGCCCAGAGTTAGACAAGTCAAAACCAGACAAATCTGATTCCGATTCAATTATTCGAATTTCAACAAAGTCACGAAGCAGTAAACAGCCTGGGATTTTAGCAAGTCGGTGGCAGGGGCACAGGCAAACATAAGTTGGCATCGACTCGGAATTAGCATTAAATTCGAATATAAGTGGAGCGCTAATTTCCCCAGCAAACTTACCATTCTCAATGTCCCAAAAGTATGGCGCAAAAGTGTTGCAGCTTTACAGAAACTCGACCACGCCTTAACGTTACCCCTCATCCATACCGCACTTTCAGAAGACTAACAGACTTTCCATTAACGCGACTTGTGTCCTTATATGAGTGTGCAGTTAATGTACAGTCGACCTTCACTTCAACTAAAGACCAATTGTCAATATTTTGACAGAACCCTCCACCTCCCGAGGTGGGTCATATTAAGAGGGGAGGTTTTACGTGTGGGAGGCATGATGAATATGCTGGCGACATATTGCAAATCCCAGTGGATGAGCTCGAACGACGTGCGGGGAATCATGAGGTAGTGCTCTGTGTATTTGGAGTCGTATGTGGCGGTAGGGGAGTGGCTCACCTAGGATTGACATCACTCGGCCATTTAATACCACCCTTTATGGGAATTTTTACAACCTGATGATAAAGAGCCAATTGTAATGAATAAAGGGGCCTCCTCCAAAAGGTAGTGTGCATGATTCGATCTCAATTGAAGTCCTATTTAGCGGTCAGTCTGGATAAAAACATTTTATTTGCTGTGAAGGTGGGGTTCCTTCAACTCCTTGCTTGTAAATACTTGATATGTACATATTTATGTATATATGTATGTATGTCCGAGCATAATTTTCAACCAAGGAAATCCGTTTATGTGCTTTCATTTGGCAGCGTAAAGAAACGCATATTGCAGTTGACACTGTAGTTTCCAGACATGGATTAGTTCCCTTTAAATGATGCCACCGTTCGGCGCACTCCCCGAAATGGAAAACCCGGACTGTAGAGCGCTGCTAGCATTCTGAGTGGATTACTTGACTGCTCTTACTCTTTATCGCAAGCATCGCAAACAAGTCGGCAGTCACACTGCCGCAATCATCGCCTGGCCACGCCGAATATGATAAATTATTATATGAAATAATTTTACATATTACAAAAATAGAACAGAGGCATGATTCAAGAGTCGCCAATGTCCGGCAGAGACAGCAGAGAGTGGAAAGCAGGGAATGCAATGCACATGAATTGCTTCTCGTGGTCCGACAAACCGTTCGGAATCATAGTCGGGTTCAGCCAGCTGGTCATTTATGACATTTGTCTGACTGAATAATTCACAGTTGGTACGCATGCACAGGCAGTGATTAAAGTAATCGTCCCGATTACAGTCATCGGCATCAAGACAAACGCGGAAAGTGCGTCAGGCTCTGATCTCTCTCAATTCATCGATATAATAGGCAATATTTCGACTGGGCGCCATGGCTTACCTGATCTGATGCACGTCGACCGTTCTGTTCACATCCAATCCACTTTAACGTCATGGTCCAAAAATGTGAGAATACGAATTGGATATTAATAATTTTTTTAACTACACATCCCAGAATGTCGATGGGTTGCAGCAGGCTGTGTCTACTGCCATTTTGGGTATCGTATTATAAACAGCAGTTGAACAATACTATGGCCGTCAAAGATCATTTAAATGCAAATCTGCCAATTATTAAAACGTTTTAAATGGCCCTTTCCAGTGACGAGAAGGCAAGAAAATAGCGGGCGCGAACTCAGCACTCTGTCTGCTTAATTTATGTGCAACTTTGTTGCGCTGTCGACCTCTGCAGGCGACAATGCCAGTCATATCCCCCGGATATTGGAAACTTCTGTCCGAGGATTCCATGGTTCCGCTGTTTCAGCCAAGTCATCAAGTTTCAACAAAATTTGCCAGTTTTTGGCCAACTTCTTGTTTTAACTATGCCACCGTGCTGGTGGTAAACGAAAGGATAATGTATGGCCCCCAATGGTTGCTTCTCCAAACATAATTAGCAGGCCATGGCCGGCCTATGGCTCCATTCAAGACTCCCTGGTCGGGTTACAGGCAATTGGCGTTGTATAGAAAAACTGAAGGTCATGTTTTGGGCACCGTAATTAAATTTAACTGCCACAAATTATGGAAACTTGCAGAGACCCTTTCAGTCAGCAAACAAGTAGATGAAGGAGTGAAGTAATGCTTAAGCATTTATAGTTCAAGGAGATCCTCCCAGAACTGGCCCTTTTTAGGCTAATGCGCATAAAATGCCATGTGAAAACCTTATTCAGACTAGCTCATACGACATTCCAAGCCCGTAGCTGACGGGACATAAGCTACCCAGTCGCACAAAGACACATGTATTGGACTTTTCAAAGCTGATGCGCAAAACACTCGAAAGTGAGGTTGAGGGTGAGGGATCTGGAGGGAAATGGACAACACACAGGGGCCAGAAGAAGCCACACGAAAAACTGTAACCAGCTCCGTGTCATTGCGCCAAAATCAACAGAAATGCAAACGATGTGGGCTGTCCTCCGTCGACGGAGACGTAGATGCGGAATGTGAATTCTTCTCCCATCCCAGGTGGAGGGGGAGTGGGTGAGTGTTGACAAGAATATGCCAATGTGCCAAACCATTGGACACATTGAGAGAGGCTTGGATGAGACTGTTGCAGCACAAGCTAATTTTAATATAATCCTTATAAAGTCCATAAATATTTTTCCTCCACCATTCCTGAGCCATTTTTGGTCCTATTTCGACCACTATAAAGCAACATACAACTCTGGAGAAGCTAATGTAAAGCCATGATTTCCGAGCTCGACATGTTTCACTAGCTTTAAGACTTTGGCCGCTCGCCTGGAAGGAGGCTGATGAAATTGATCACTGTCTCTTTTTACGTAACCCAAATCTAACAACTAGAACTCCTAAAGTAGGAGGCTGGAAGGCTTGCTCCTTTATGGTTTCCACTGATTACAAAATGAATATGGCAGCTGATGGAGCAGGCGCTGCATCTGGGTAACACTACCCGACACGATTTTCCCCTAAGGAACCAAATTAATATTTTCTGATAGATGTGGGGTTTCGAATTGGTCGGACGACATTTTTTAATGGCAGACTTTATTTTTAAAGTATTTTTTTAAGATGTAGCGGTTTTTTTTTTACGTCTCTTCATAGATTTTGATAAGCAATTCTATAAACGACGACAAATGAATGCAATTTTCGAATTTTTACATTTGAAAGCTCAATATTTCCCAGACGGTAAGCTAAAACCGCAAAGTATTTGGGTCCAATTTTTAGCTGCATTTTAGAATGGTACTGTTTTTTCCAACTGGATCTAAGATACTTAAGTTATGCCAAACAACAAACCGCTACCTCTGAAAAAAGCATTATCAAAAAATGCCGGTTTTGAAAATTATTAAAAAGCCAAACTGCCATAAAAAAACGAGAAGGGACGTGTGAGACGCTTCTTACGCGTCACAACTTTTATACCCGGCACTCAGGACTACATATAGATGTAGAAGACATCGCCAACCACTAGATATCGTTCACATTACAGAACACGTAGTAAAAGCCTACTAAATAAAAAACAAACAAATTGGATCAGTTAATATTTTCCAATTTATGAGATATTTAAAACAGCAATAAAATTGGTACATTCTTGGACCGATAGGTTTCACAGCAAATTTTTCGAAAGTGGCGCCATCTATGAAAATTTCTTGTACGCAACTTTGATGGTCCAATGGTCTGCACATTCTGTGCAATAATGACCGATAGGTTTCACAGCAAATTTTTCGAGAGTGGCGCCATCTAGCGTTAAAAACCGAGTCGTGGTTAAAAGTCGGAAGAGTCAACGCCAGGGGGAGGGCAGAGGCAGGGGCCGAGTGAAGCAGAAGCAGAGTGTGAATGAGAGAATGTAAAAAGAGCAACAAAAGCTGCCGGACAGGGTGGGTTTAGCCACTGGAAATTAATTTCTCCATTGTGGCTATAATAATGATCCGATCGGATCCCAATTTGGTGATCTGATAGATATGGCATTTCCTACGGAATGGCGTTTTCTTTTATCTTCAAAACTGTAGATTTGCGAGGTTTTCGCCTTTTTGCGGGGGCGGAAGGGGGCGTGGCTCATTTTTGAAATACACTGGTTTCAGTGTGAGCATATAGCAGTCTGGATGCAAAATTTGGTGGCTCTAGCTTTTATAGTCTCTGAGAACGAGTCGACAAACAAGACGAGCAGACGGACAGACAGACATGGCTCTATCGACTCGGCTATTGATGCTGATCAAGAATATATATACTTTATGGGGTCGGAAACGTTTCCTTCTGTGCGTTACATACAACCGTTATTCGCACAAATAGAATATACCCAATTTACTCTTTGAGTACCGGGTATACAAAAAAATGTTGCATAATAAATTATAAACAATAATAAATCTTTCCGAAAAAGTTTTTTGTTGTGCCTTGAGGAAAAAAAACGTTAGATTTTGTCGATTAGTGTAATAAGGACCCTCAATCGCTTCCCTGTATGGTCAGCAGTATTGTATGTGAAAGCAATAATTCCATGTATTGTCTTGTTGTGAGTTTTTCTGTCTTCCTCTGTCTTGATTGATTTGACTTTCGATTATATTGCTCTACCACCCTACGATAGTGGATTAATTGAGAGACAGCCTGGAACCCGAAAGATCATTGCAGGCTAAGTTCTGGGAGAACTGCAAACGCAAGTCCGAAGATAAAAAACTCATAACATTTAATTACGTACAATTTACTCATATGTTAACACCACTGGCCGGCCGAAATAGTACAGAAAAGATAGCAAAAAGACTGGTCTAGTAGTTGACAGGACAAAAGGTGAGAATGGGTACACCCTATCACTGTCGCTATCACCAGCAATGTGACTGTTAATGACACCACGTCACCCCGTCCCAGAGCAGTGCGGTAGCCGACGGACTTTACTCGTGTCTCCGCCATATAACTTTTAGGCCGATTGCTGACGGTCGATTGTCGAATTGACAGTCATCATTCACACCGCCATGGCATAACTATGCATTGAACATTGTATTGCTAGTGAGGTATTATTCACCTTTGCTGGGCGTGTTTATCTATTGGTGGCAGTAACAGAGACAGTCCATCGCTTGACTTATCTATCAACATGCTAGCGCGTTGGCATGGGAAGCTCGTCACATGTGCCCCGACGACTATAGCGGTCTGGTCTATATAGAGCTAATAGACCGTGCACCCTGCAGGACAGTTGCAGGCCCTCGCCCGTGACGATAACATGCAACAAAAATGCAACTAGCAATGCCCATGTCAAAGCTCGGGATTGTAATTCTGCTCGTCATTTGCAGCGTCTCATAAGACACACCTAATAAATTAAAAGGAATCATAGCTTGGCGGTGTCAGGTGCAGTGAACTGGGACCGCTCTTAGCAGCCTTTCAGAGCTCCTTCACACAGCCAGGGCCACTAGTATAGCTAATTGAGCTTGCCAAATGAATTAAATCAATACATGGTCGCAATGGCTGTGCCATTTGTTGATTAAGTTTTTAACTGAAATGGAAATAGAAAAGGAAATGCAAATTCCGCCTGTTGCCTGTTACTTGCTACTTGCCCCTGGTGCTTTTGGGGTCCTTCTGTCCTCCTGCTTGATTGAATTAATTAGGCAAAACGCAATTAAGCGAATCGACTAGCATGAAATTTCTACCCAGCTTAACACGCAAGCGAGGCTGGGTCTACGGGGAGTTTCGTTGGGACAGCAAGGGAGTATAACAGTTATGGAGGAGAGTAACATAAATTCCATTGCCAATAAGTTGGGAAATAAGTGAGTGTCTCCCGTAAGGGCTGGCTCAACAACGGTGATAATTTGACAAGCCCCTAGCGGACCCTTAGGTCAGAGCGAGCGGGTTATTGTCTGGCTCTAAGTGCTCTGGCTTGATTAAGTAACTCCCCCATTTTCTTTTTCCTCTCATTTTCCACTTGCCGCTTTTTACTTAACGGCTGCTACCAGGATTAAGTTGGTGAATGGCAAGGCGAGCAGGTCAAAGGTGGGCCAATTAAATGGAAAACGTTTCAATGTTCCGCAAATTGTTGTCATAGATTGATGGATTCACTTTCACATAAAAAACCCTCTACAGAATGATTGAGTAGTCAGGACTTTATGAACTCACTGGTCTAATGTCATCGTAACTTTTAATACTTCAGTATCTGACAACTATAAAGACAGACCCATTCGTGAGTGTTTTGATAGGTTTCCATGACTTCCGACTGCAGGACATATCCCAGTCCATCCTATTGTCACCCCGTGCTGCTCTTTGCCTTTCTTCTCCTGCTCGAGATGCGGTTAAATGGCGAGATTTCCTCGCTGAGGATACACACTAGTATGCTCGGAAATTTATGTGGTGAAAATGCGGTGACCATCTCTGCTCCAGTTCGATTGCCTGGCAATTGATTTTGTTGCTTGCCGGGACTGGTGCCCTGTTAATACTTTTAAGGCTTTGTATTTGGTCCACACGAAGCAGATATTGAGGAGGTAAACCACATACTCATAGAAAAAGGCAAATAGCCTACAGACATACTTATGTAAATAAAACTTATGTAAAAATATCAGAAAGTAACCGTCTGATGGCTCCCTTCCCCTGACAAAAGTCATATCGCATCCCAGCTAGCAGCGCATTGTGTTGACGAAGAGCCATACAGATGGGCTCCTTATTGTCATAGTTAGTCCGATGGCAACCGACCACAAAGAGTGCAGAATACTTACTCTTAGACTCCTGGCTGACGTGCTAACTTCAACCCTGCAGAGAAAGTCAGGGTAATCGACGTTCCCCATTCTGAGATCATAAAGTGAGACCTATGCCGCGATGTTCCACAAACATATGTATGCAGATACCCTTTTACTCATGAATAAAACAGTCAAGGCTTTTCAAAGAAGTCACGATCTCATAGTTATTTATGTCAGAGAAGTCACAAACATTTAAAAACACATTTAATTTCTATATTTTTCCAGCCAAATAAAACTGCATCATGTGACGACTACAACCAGCCACAACACAACAACAATACAAAAAAAAATTACTAACAGAAAAAATTATTAACACTGAGACCGAAGCAGCCGCAAAAGGGACCCTTAGCTGAGAAGCAGCAGAGGGACATGGCGAATACGCAATGCTCAACATGTGTAACTGCTCTCGATGCTCCAGCTACGACGACCTCGTGTCAATTACGAAGCTTTCAATTTAATTGAAACTCACTGTCCGTTACCTTCCACACAGTCAATTACAAATACAAAGCTTGAGAAAATGTCGGAGTTCAGATACCTATCCATTACAGATCTATCCTTTAATCTGCCAATAGCACCGCTCCGTTCCGCCACCAAGACAGAGGAGCAAGGTCTATCAGACAACCCCACCACCGATCTGAATATTCCCTACACCGTTTTTGAGATCCTTGTGGCCATCGTCAGCATCATTGGCAATGTCCTGGTCATCATTGTGTTCCGCCGTGAGCGAAAACTGCGACGCAGGACTAACTACTACATCGTCTCCCTGGCCATGGCCGACTTCCTAGTGGGGAGTTTGGGGGTGCCGTTTGCCATTCTGGCCTCCATCGGACTACCACACAACCTGCACGCCTGCCTTTTCACCGTCTCGCTGCTCGTGGTTCTCTGCACAATCTCTATATTCTGCCTGGTGGCCGTTTCCGTGGATCGCTACTGGGCCATCCTTTATCCGATGGCATACTCACGAAACGTTCGCACTCGGACGGCAATTAGTAAGTTGGGGAAAGAGGGAGGATATTTTATATTTTGGTTCACATTGTTGCAAGTGAAAGGCTGCATCTTTGTTGGGCCTTTGTTGTCTCGCTGCTAATGACTTTGTCTGGCTAATATACCTCAATTGTTCGGCCTGGCTACTGTCCATGTTTGAGTTGCAGATTGGCTACCACAAAGAAGTGCTTATCTGGCCAACAATTATAGTGCAGAAAATAGTACACATCTCTTCAACTGGTATTTCCAAGCCACCAAAGCCGAAGTGGTGCTCTTCAAATGTAGATTGTGAGACTCATTTCCAATGGCAAATGAAAGTACATAGGTTTTGTTTAATGAAATAGTAGTGCCTAAAAAATACACAAGCCAGATGGAATCCTGGAGCATTTGCATTCCATCTTTTGGTTTTCCATTACTTTCGTTGAAAACGCATGAGATCTCCTGTTCAATGAAATAAAACTCTAGATGCAAGTTACAAAAAAAAATTTAATTAAATCAGTTAAAATAGTTACCATAAAATAGTTACCATCTAATTAATTAATCTAAACACTACTATTTTTTTGAACAGCAGATTTCAAAGGTACATACATATGTGTCAAAAACCAGGAAACACAAGAAGATGGAATGCAAATGATCCAGGATGCCTGATTAATTCGAAAGCTTAAAAGGGTCTCAAAAAGAGTTGTGAAAGTGACGTGGTGCTGCACTACTATTTCATTGAACAAAACTTATGTAATTGCATTTAGGACCACACTCCCCTTGTTGACTATGTGTAATAACATGTCCGCAACTCTAAGCGACCCTCCAAGATTCATTTTCGTCATTTGCGTCATTTTGTGAGAGCAAGAGAGTTCAGTCACATGGCAGCGAAATTGCTAGCTGGCACTTTACCAATTCCCATTTGCCACAATCTCACAATCACTGTGACGTCGGAGGAGTTCACTTGACGGGCTTCAGATTTTAACCCTTTTGCTTATAATTCGCCTCTGCTGTCTGTTGCAGTCATCATATCAATGTGCTGGGTGGCCGGAACGATAGTAGGGTTCCTGCCGCTCTTCGGTTGGCATGCGGATGTGGCCCACAATCAGGAGTGCCTATTTGTGGAGGTAATGGACTACGACTACCTTGTCTTTCTGTACTTTGCCACGATTATCACACCGGCGCTGCTGATGCTGGCCTTCTACACGCACATCTATCGCGTCATCATCAAGCAGGTGAGTTTGAACCTTTGGCTGCATATGAATTGTTCATCCTATATCATGCTGCTCTCCCTGTAGGTGCGCCAGATCGTCACAATGAATCCCTCCTCGGAACTCAGCCGGCGGTCCTCTACAGCACCCATGCAGGTGATGCCAGGAAGGGGTGGTGCTCATGCGGGTACAATGCTAAGAGTGCTGGGAGCGGCCCGAAAGCGGGACGTGAAAGCTACGCAAAATCTTTCCATTATTGTGCTGTTTTTTATGATCTGCTGGATACCGCTTTACACGATCAACTGCATCAAGGCCTTCTGCCCGGACTGCTATGTCCATCCCAAGCTGACGCTTTTTTGCATTATCCTCTCACATTTGAATTCTGCCGTAAACCCGGTTCTCTACGCCTACCACCTCAAAGACTTCCGGGCCGCACTCAAGAACCTGCTGCTCAAGATGATGGGCGTTGACATCGATCAGCAGGCGGAGGCCACCCACCGTTTTTCCTTGGCCAGCCAGCACCGCCTCCAGTCGATGGACTCAAATATGCGCTCCACGCAGCCGCGCCTCTATGTGGGTGAGTGTGAGTGCGCGTCGTCACCGGCCAAACCGGCTACACACCAAAGATCCAGCAAATTATTCCTTTCCCCTGCAGACTCACCAATCTGGCTGCGGCAACAGCAGGAGGCGCTCAAAAGCTCCCAGCTACTTCCCAAATGCGGTATGGTCTCGCCCTGCTTCAACAACATCAACCAGACGGTGGCCGCCGTCGCCTCCGTTACTACTGAGATGGAGCGCGAGATGTGGAACATCATGGAGGCATCCAGCGGTGCTGAACTGGGCGAGATAAGCTTTGAGTTTCCGCTCCCCGCGGGACTGGGTCCCAAGGGAGAAAGTGATCACGACAGCAATATCTCTATCCGCCCACGCACCTTACCTGATAAGAAAGCGCCTCCACAACCCGTTAACCATGGGATGCATCTTCGCTGTGACAGTGTCTACTCATACGACAACCACAACTACTCCTCCAGTCAGGAAGAAGATGTCGAAGTTCTGGACCACGGAGAATGTGAAGATTTAGATTTCGAAGATGTCTTTGATCCTGGCACTCTTACTCAGACTGGTGTGAACCCCGCAGAGCTTCGTAGATCATTGGCCCTTGTAATGCGCGAGAAACTTCGATCCGACGATACAGACCTCCAGAACCAACCAAGCAATATCCACGAGCTGCAGTACGATCTAGACCTATCCCTGCAGCAGGAGCGGACCAAAGCCAGGCCATGCTCCACGCAGACCTCGCCTACCAATGGTCCGCTTCCAGCTCTTCTGCGGGCAAAACTCTATTCCGGTAACTCAAACAGCGCCCACTGCATCACCGGACCGTCGTCCAAGGAAGCAACCAGCCTCACCACTGGCGTCTATGTCATAGATAGCGAGGCGAGTCCAGACTCAACGGGCCATAAGCCAAAGTACCGCAAAGGAACCGCCCTAACCAGGAACTCGCTCAAGAAAAGCCGATCCTGCACTTGCAGCATCAAGGGGCGTGATCATGGCGATTCTCATGAACAGGTAGTCCCTTCGCAAAATGGCAACAACAGCGATCCCCAAGAACCGCCTCCAAATCACCACCAGGAGAGCTTCTTCAGCCCTCTGAGATCGGTGGGCAGCTTCATGCAGCATTCCAATCCGTTTCATTTCTTTCAACCGCATGCCACAAGGGCCACCTCAACTTCGACGGATTCACCTGTGTCGTCAACACTCACACCTACACTCACACACGCACCCATGCCAGCACACAACCTGGCTATCGAAGGCACAGCCTCTGCATCAACACCGTCCCTGGCCACTGCTAGTTCAGAGAGCTGACCAGTAGACGAGAGCAACGACTCCACCCAGAGCAGTCCCTAGGCAAATACTCGCCAGTCAAGGCTTATATTTTAAGTACTTGATGGTTTTAATTAGTTCCCTTTCGCATTAGGAAGACCTTAACAGCATTGGGATTTGTGTTTAGTCGGATCCAGATACAGCGGCAGTTGAATTCTTAGGAAGTTACGCGCATTTATTTTGTTTACCAATTAATGTATGGAACTGCTATTTCTGTAAATAATGTTAAATTCTGTTGAAATATTTATGTGTGCAGTCGATGACTGCATAAATTTGTGCAATCTTACTGTTTGGTCCTATTTGTATATGTATGTAAGTATGTATGTATGCATGTGTACGGTGTATAGTGGGTGTAATTATTTGTTTGTGAACGTCTGTAAAACTAAGCCATGAAGCTAATCAGAATTATTTTTAAGTTTGAAGATAAATAAATCATATAATCGATTTTAGAAGCTTAACGCCAAATTTCAATAAGGTTCTGTGATATTTTAAAATGCTTCTGCCTCTTAGAAAGAGTATATATGTATTTATGTATGTACATATGTATATTTATTTATTTTTTGTTCAAAAGCAATTTCGAAAGCTTTGGAATCGATTTGGCTAAATTGTAACAGGAAACTCCAGGTTAGAATGATTCAAGCAGGCTTATTCCTAGTATTCAACTAATTTAATGCGAATATGTCAAATTTAGTTTTTTAGACAATATGATTCAATTTTTACGCGTGACCGGAGGAAGAGCGCATAGCGTCTGGCACGCTCATCAGAATGAGGCACTGTCTCGCGCAACCATGGACAACAACCCGAGCGTTTGTGAGACCATGCTACTAGACGTGCCCAAAAGCGTCGCACCGCAAGCTCAGAAGTTCACAGCTGTTTTCATAAAGCTTTTCGAGCACCAGTGGAAGACGTATGAAGGTCAAAAGAAGGTTAGCACATCATATCAGTACATTTTATACGAGGTGGGTGCGTCGAAATTCGCTAAGCAAAAACGATAAAGTTGACGGCGAATTTCTATTCATTTCATTCCCTTTAACACTGCCCGTAACGAAATTAACGTTTTCAACATCTAACTTAACTCTTTCATTTACCGCGGACCCTTGCACACTTTCCCGGCGCGCAGTTCTACGCAAATTCCAACACACATAGCAAAATGAGCGCCCGAAAATTCTGCGTGGGAGGCAACTGGAAGATGAACGGCGACCAGAAGTCCATCGCCGAGATAAGCAAGACTCTAAGCGGCGCCGCTCTGGACCCCAACACTGAGGTGGTCATCGGATGCCCGGCCATCTACCTGATGTACGCCCGCAATCTGCTGCCCTGCACTGTTGGCGTTGCCGGTCAAAACGCCTACAAGGTGGCCAAGGGCGCCTTCACGGGCGAGATCTCGCCCGCCATGCTCAAGGATATCGGGGCCGATTGGGTCATCTTGGGTCACTCTGAGCGTCGCGCCATATTTAATGAGTCCGACGAGCTCATTGCCGAGAAGGCAGAGCACGCTCTGGCCGAGGGCCTCAAGGTAATCGCTTGCATCGGTGAGACCTTAGATGAGCGCGAGGCAGGCAAGACAAACGAAGTTGTCGCCCGTCAAATGTGTGCCTATGCCAAGAAGGTGCGTGACTGGACCAACGTGGTTGTCGCCTACGAGCCCGTGTGGGCCATCGGCACCGGCAAGACTGCCACCCCCGAACAGGTGAGTTTTGGCTTCATTTTTGCATCTTTTTTGCATTCTCACCCACCACACTTTATTTCAGGCGCAAGAGGTGCACGCATTCCTGCGCCAGTGGCTGACCGACAATATATCCAAGGAGGTTTCCGCCGCGCTGCGTATCCAGTATGGTGGCTCTGTGACTGCCGCCAACGCTAAGGATCTGGCGAAGAAGCCCGACATTGACGGCTTCCTAGTGGGCGGTGCTTCCCTGAAGCCCGAATTCGTCGACATTATCAACGCTAGACAGTAAGACGCATCCCACCGATCAAACGCAGCAATAAAACTGCACGAAGGGAGCGGAGCGGGGGAACCACACCCTCCAACCCACATTATGCATTATGCACACGTTGTTGTCATTAACTGAAGTCAAAAAGTCTCAGTTCCCTTGCGGTTAGAAACCTATATACTGTTGTTGATCGTATATCCAATTTCTACTTATTAAATTATTCTGGCTATAAATATAATTACGCAACTGCCACTAAAGAGTGCAGCAACTTACAATGTTTATTCTCTTTCCTTGAAATATGGTATTTTCCGTATCTGTTGCCGCATTTAAATTTCAATGGATCCTCAACTGAATCTCGGACTGGAGTTTCCTTTTCACGTCAAGATTTTCTCGTAGAGCCCATTCTATGCAGTTACATCACGAATATTGAAAAGGAAGGAAAAGATGATTAGAAGAGGGGGGAAATCTAGACTTTTTAATGGGTGTGTGATTGAATTTAATGATCATAGAGCAGTGCACTTGATACATGAGAAGAAAGGTATGCATGTCTATCTAATTAATAATAGATTATATATTTATTCAACAATCTTAAAAGTATGCCGACCCTAAGTAATATTCATAGTAATTTCAAAATAAAATTCGATTAGCTTATCGCACAAAAATACCGATATATATATATAATACATTTTTGTCGGCCGAACCACGGATGATATTCGAATATAATCGTTAGCCAGCTGCGCAAGCAGCAGCTACAGCTGCTGGTGTGCAAAAGTGGAAAATCAACTACAAAAAAAAATAGAATGTTAACAAAGAAGCTGTAATAAAAACGGGAAGAGGAAAAACAGCCTAAAAGTGTTGGAAAATAGTATAAGTAAATAAATCTAAAAGAATCCGCCAAACAACAAACACGCATCGAAGCAGGGCCCTCAGCAGAGCTTGATTTTTGTTTTGTTTGTATCGTCGCGTTTCTTTCCAAAAATCTACGAATACAGTTCGAATACAGCTGCTAGTGTGAAAACGGCATAACAAGAATAGGGAGTAAAAGGAGACGAAGGATAAAAGAGAAATGTGTGTCTGTGGAAAGAAAGCTTCCACCAAATCTCGCTGCTGACGTCGTAACTAGAAGTCTTATCCGTGCATCTAATAATGAATACTAATTATGTTATCCCTTTCAGCCCCGGACTTGTGCCCTTTGCTTGCTACGATGTTAGTCGGACCGTGGACAAGTCCATCAACTGTCGGGACGTAATATTTACCTTGTGTCGCTCTGATAAGTGTCCGGGCACATCATGCATAATGAACCAGTATGTTATGTCACATACCTGTGTCCCATTTCGGTGCATGCACAATGACAGATCGCGCGACGCCGGAGAAAGCGTTGACCCAAAACCCATGACCCAGAGGTGCACTGGGAACAGAAACGAGGAATACTAAAGAGGCTGTTTGAAGAGCTTGGCCTCTCGGCTACTGCCAAGCAGCTGTTCAGCAGCTGATTAGCGATTGACTCCGCAAAGAACACTGCATAGTTTTCTCCTCCGAAAAAGATATAAAAGGAAATGAGGATCTAAACATGCCCGAAGCCTGTGGATGCATGTCAAGACCGGTCTGCACCCGCTGCCGCATTCGCAAATTGTGTGATCAGTTCTTTACAGATCAGGAAACAAGTTTAAGCATGCTGTCGGCCTACGAGACGAAGGTTGGCATCCAAAGACGAGGCAGTCAATGAAAAATATACCCTCGAGCACATCGCATATCCTCTCCAAGCTTATAACGATTTTCAGTCAAATGCACAACATGTACGATATACAAAAGGGGCAGAATGATATGATATGAAGAATCTGCAGGACCTTCGTGAAGTGTGTGAGGCAGAATGCACCAGCTTAGAGTCAGCTCGGGGTCAACGCCAAGCTCTACGCTCGCTATTAAAATCACCTAAAGGTAACCACAAAGACTCGAAGAGAAAGGAAAGAGACCCCACCTTTCGAAATCTAAGCGGTGAGTTGTGTTGGCAGTTGATATTACCAGATAATATATTCTGATTATATCGCATGGTCCCAAGATACACGTACTTGGACATTCAGAAGAAGCAGGTTCGGCCCCGCCTTGGACACAGGAGATGCATTAGCGACAGCAAATACTGCCACATGCATGCTTAGGGAACGGGGATGCCAAGATAAGGTAGAAACATTCGTTTACCCCCCAATCGAGGATGTCACTCCGCCTCTGGTGTCATCAACCCGGAGCGACTGAAGAGTCGCACGTGAAGCACACTGAAACGCAGTGCAACGAATGCCCTGCATGTTTCCCCATACTGCAAATCCTTTTGCACAATACATCGCAAGCGTGCTTGGTGATCGAAAGAAACCATTCGGCTGGATATACGGCAAGGGTAATGTACGCCAGGTCCCCAAGGAACCGCTAAAGCGCAACCAGAGAATGATGAAGAAGCAGGAACTGCCGGGATGTCAGTCGGGTGGATTTGATGACCCGAATCGGTTCCAGGCTCCATCTTATACATCAAGAAAAAAATGGTACAAGTCCAATTCCCAACCCTGTAATAGTTCAACGACACTCGAAATAGTCGTAGGAGTTCGGAACAATAAAACTTACTTTACCAATATTTACTTATTCTTTTTATACCCGGTACTCAAAGAGTAAATAGGGTATATTGTATTTGTGCGCATAACGGTTGTATGTAACGCACAGAAGGAAGCGTTTCCGACCCCCTAAAATATATATATTCTTGATCAGCATCAATAGCCGAGTCGATAGAGCCATGTCTGTCTGTCCGTCTGTCCGTCTTGTTTGTCGGCTAGTTCTCAGAGACTATAAGAGCTAGAGCCACCAAATTTTGGCTCCGGACTGCTGTATGCTCACACTGAAACCAGTGTATTTCAAAAATGAGCCAAGCGCCCTTCCGCCCCGCAAAAGAGCGAAAACCTCCCAAATCTACAGTTTTGAAGATGAAAGAAAAATAAAAACGCCATTCCGTTGGAAACGGCCATATCTATCAGATCACCAAATTGGGATCCGATCGGATCATTATTATAGCCACAATGGAGAAATTAATTTCCAGTGGCTAATCGTTGTTCTTTTTACATTCTCTCATTCTGTTTCACTCGGCCCCTTCCTCTGCCCTCCCCCTGGCGATTCCTCTTCCGACTTTTAACCCACCCCGTCCCGCAGCTTATATTTGTTTTTTTTTTTGTGTGAGGGCGCTGCCTCTGCCGCAAGTCAGCAGTATGTGGGTCTAGGGAAGGGCGGTGAGCGTGTTGGTGTGAGAAGTGTTGTAGATGTAGATGACAGATGAAGAAAAAATTTAAAATTTGACAAAACACCGCTGAGGTGCAGATGCACTATTGTCCCAATGACCAGTTTTGGTGGCTGTTTACGCGAAATTAGCGCAAAGGGCTTATGGCCGGCAGCAATTAATATTTTGTATAAGTAAAATGAATTTCTAGTATTAAGCTATTGAATTGTTGCATTTACGACATACTCACAGAAGTTTGTTGCTATAGAACATACATGTAATATGTGAATACGATAGAGAAAGATTGCATGCAT